CTTGAACGTTCAACAATTTTTATGAAGCTGGTGAATTATTTCTACGTTCAGTTCCGTAAAATTTCTCAATCGTTGGGGAAAAATTACGGAACGACTTGTTGTCCCCACAGCGGTGAGTCATCAGACGAGTGGTTAATTTTTACGGAACAAATCGTAGAATTTACGTGGCGATTCGTACAAAACGTAATTTTTACTTTTTTTTTCTGGTAATGTTTATTGAATTTTTCTCTCCACGTTGTTTGCGAGAGAGCGAAAACCGTTACCTAAAGAAAATTTAATAACATAATATAATCCGTTACAATTAATCCCTACTGGTGAATTATCGCCTGTAATCCCCACGGCATAATTAATTCTTCAATGACGAGATTCAATTATCCTGAGCACTCCTTTAATTTGAGGTCTGGAAGATTCGTGTGAGATCGTTTTACGAAGATGAGACCAATAATCTATTATTGCTGAAATAATTTAATTTTCTGAAAATATTTCGTTTAACTGATGCGAGAGAACAGAATTTCGGCTCACGCAGAGGAACAAATTTTCCCCGCAGAGTTGATAGCGTCATAATTGATCCGCACGGCCGATTTTATAATAATTAAATATTGCTGAATTATTGAATAGAAATACGAGTATCCAATCAGTTTCGATTTACATCGATTAATAATTATAATACGGATCAATATCTCATCGGAATCAGTGAATGAGTCAGATGGAATGAGGTATGAAATTTCCGCACGATGTGTACTGGCTCTTATTCCAGTTCAACTACATTCGCTAATGACTTTCCAATGATTGATCTCGCAGAGCAATGGGCAGAGAGAGTTTGATTCCGAAATTGGCCACGGTTCGCCCTGGTTAGAAGATCCTGCATTCAAAGGGACATTTATAGGGCTGCTACTAAATATCTCTTTGAAGGTAGACGGATTAATTATGAGTAGTTGAGTGACGTAACGGCGCAGAGTTACCAATCGAACTTGGAGCGCAGAGCAAGAATGTTGAAATTTTCAGGAAACTATGTGTAAACTTGACACTGATAGAATAGTATATTTTATTAAGTTGACGAGGCTTTTACCCTCGTCACATTCAAGGATGTTTATCCTATCAAGTGGACAACTCAGCTGAAATGAGAAATAAAATTGACTAAGTAAAATTGTAAAATTGACTTCAGTATCCAAGATCTGACACTTTGACACCCTTTGGACCCATTCAATTAGTTGTTTCCAAAAACTTCTAGATTTTTCATTTCAAATTTCACGGGTCATTTTCTGAAAATGCAGAGAACTGCGAAAATGGAAGGAACTGAATAGTAAAAGATACTTCAATCAAGTTTTTTCTTCGTGAAATTCTTCACGGAAATTTTCTGAGAGGGTAGAGTTTTCCACGGAAAGAAAACTTCAATTGGAGGAAACCATGATACACAACCGCAAAATGTTCTATTCCGACGAGTGCAGTTTCGACTTTTCTTCGGTATAATACATTGAATAGTTCCAAGAGAAAGCAATGAACAAGAGAGAGAGAGAGAGAGCATTTTTTACTAAATGTAAATAGGTAGAAGGGAATGAGAACGGAAAAAAACCGTTCCAAAACGCAGTAACGAAAAACGGAGAAAGGAAAAAATGACGGATGCATTCAACCACTCCAATATGAAATGTGAATCTCCTTTTTCGTAGTCGCGTTGAAAGAGGAATACCCCGAAAGGGTAAAATATATAAATGCATTGGAGGAAGGCAAACGAGGCCGGAGTGAAAGACGTGCAGGATCTCTTGCGTTTTTTTTTCAATGTGTGTCGGGTAGTTTTTTCCTCACACAGGCTTTTTTAATGCCTTCTATTCCACCCGCTGTGGATTCTGTCATTAATCAACATCTTTTTTTTTATCCACTCTCAGTTATACCACCAGACTTTCATCGTGCATGCATCAGGGTAGTTGGGTTTTCTTCTGAATTGAATGTATGTCCTAAAGAAATACTTTTCCGGCTCTCGCCTCAAAGGATGAACGCCTAGAGCTCGAAATAAAAGGACAACCTAAAAAACTCGTGGAAACCGGGTGGACAGATTCGGTTAAACAATCACATAACATTTTAAAAAATGTCCAAAAATGACAAATATTACAAATTTGTACATAAACTGACAGAATTTGACAATTTTTGTTCGAAATTTTCTAAAAATTTTCCACAAGAAATGTCATGTCAGGGTCATTGGGAAAACTCCTCCTAAAATTTCAGTGAAACTGTCACTTGTTTGATATTTAAAGGATAAAATCCGAAAGAGTCGGTTAAAATTTTTCAACGTAATATAATACACTGATGGAAAAAATTATTTCTACTGAGATGTTTCTTTCTTGGAACAAGTGTTATGACTTCAACCAATTTCAAATAAATAAGAATTTACGGTGAATATCAATTATTTCTTCTTGAGATTCATGTTCACCCAACACAAAACAAAGTCTCAGTCAACTCATGGTTCTCACAGTGGATATTCTTTCGACCTCTATCGTATGGAGTGAAAAAAATGATGCAGAACTGGATCATTTCCCCGTCATGATGATAAGAAAAAATAATAGCTGATGTTTCCAACAGTGAATTCGATCCTTAATTTATAAGAAGTGAGAAAGATTAATGATGGGAAAATTGTATGAAAACCAACGCAAAGAATTAGTTTCACGTTGACCCGATTCCTGAATCAATGGACAAGTTATTAGTTGCTGGCTGCGGCTTAGAGTGTGTTTGTCAGGGGATGGTTGAAACGAGTGCGACTCATTACGGTTCCAGCAAATAACTTCTAGATTGTGAATCCTTTTTTCCGCTTCTTAATGAGTTCAACTGTGTTTTATTTTCTTCCCTTGGACTCCTGCCGACTATATCAGCTATCAATGCAGTTTAAAAGAATTTATTCCAAAAGAAATAATGTAAGAAAACATTTCTTTCGGGGTATTGGAAAAAACAATAGAAAATTAACAAGTTTAATTCAAGATTCAATCAGACTTTGTAATTAAATCGTAAGGAAAACTTGATGTTCATAAGTAATCATCTTATATACAATTTCATACAATATAATTGTATTTTTGCTGCAGAATAAGCCGTCAAGATTTGAATGCATTAAAGTAACTCTACCCTTACGGTAAATTCAAAGATTATTGAAAACTGCAAAAAAATTGCAGAAAACTCGATTAGATTCGGAATTCTAATTTTTTTCTCAATTATCGTTTTGGTTTTTCAAAGAAGAAATGTTGAAAAATCAGGATTTAACCCAGTGTCTTATGTGAAAATCAACATTTCCATTGTAGTCAAAGATTAAAATCTGAATTTTTTTTCATTAGAGGTGAAAAAATCAAGAATTTTTTTGACACCTCATAAAAAATAATCCACCGTTATGCAAACAAGTTTTATTATTCATTCATAAGAGGGAAATGGTTGAAAAAATATCAATATTTTGCGAAATTTAATTTAGATAATACTGACTGGGTATGAATTTTTTCAAATTTTTTCCATGCAGTTTAGTTGAAAAATGTAAAAACTGAAAAAGGGCCGAAGGGTAGAGCTACTTAAAAAAAAAAAGACTCAATCAGACTCGATCAAAAATCGATCTTTGTTCTCATTTCCTCCCAAATCTTATGCGATAAAGTAAAAACATAGCATGACATGGCTACGGAAGATAAAAAAAATTAATATTGTGTGGGAAATAATAACGATGGCCTGCAACTAGCATATGAAATAAAAACACATCACATTCCACTGAGTAGAATGTATGAACGTAATGGCGTCGTTTGTCGAAAATTGTGTCACACAAATATCGAGGTGAATATCGAATATATTGCGAGTGTCTCGAAAGCTTATCAGACGTCGGACCAGTGTTCATGCATAATAGATTCTATGAAATTTGTCTCTGTAATAATCGATCGGGCAATAAATGCCGCTTCTATTTTCAACGTTTGAGACATTAGGCAGTCTTGTTAATTCCGCTTTGTATCGACTTCCGTTCGTTAAATTCTTCCGTAAGTTTGCACAAAGCAAAAGTGAAACCCCGATACAAAAAATATAAGCATTGTATTACAAAGGAAACGGATAATGAACTCCATTTGATAGAATAAGAGAGTTGTCTACAAGTATGGAACATACAGAAAAACTTGAGCGTAAATGACATTCTGATAAATGCAATTTACGCCTAAACAAAGCGTCTTTTACGTTTATCAAAACGGAATTTGTGTTTAACAAATCATAAATTACGATCGTAATGAACGTATTTTACGATTTTTTACGCGTGATTTGAGAAAAAAGTTGAGAACAATCTCATCAGCTGAACGGAAACCGTGACATTTCAGAATGAAAATATCTTTCATGGAGTGATGACTTATTATTCTATCTTAAAAAGAATGAGGGGCCATTCATTAGTGAAATCATTATGTCATTCAGGACTGAAATCGTATGAAATGAGTCAAAATCAGTGAAAACCTGGGATTTCATTAATTCCAGGTGATTCCACGATTGCAAAATTGTAAATTACGTTTATGTAATCGTAATTCACAACGATTTTCAGTGTAATTCACCATTCAACTTCAAGTGTAAAATATGCTTCAGAAAGTGTAAAAGCCGACTTTTATAACGTAATTTACGTTCAAGTTTTTCTCTGAAAATCGAAGAAGCCATGACATCTCTGGAATCATGTCAATTATTTTGGGGTTTAATGGCATTGAAGTGTTTAACATTGCAAAGCGTTGACATCACTCGGCTCTTCACTCATCTGATTAAACGACGGCATTTCAATACTATTTTCGCGTTGACAAGCTATGGAAAATAATTTTTAAAAAAACGAGGTAAAATTAGATAGCTAGCGAAAGATTTTCAACACCTATCTCTGTACTCTGTCTTTCAGTACTTCTGTTGAAATTCAATTCAATTAAACAATTCACGAAGTTGGTCATCCAAAAAATTCATGAAGACTCATTTAATTAAACACTGTAATTATAAGTTGTTGATGAACAGATCAGAAACTGTTAAAAACTTACCGTCCGCGGAGTATGAGTCGGACGCACTGACGAGGTTATCTGGAAAACAAAAACAAAATCTGGTATTACTAATGAAGTATCGTCAAACTGAGATTTTTTCTACTTTCAGTTGTTTCCCTCATTCTTCTGCATCTGGATGATGCTCTTCCAGGACATTTTCCAAGACAGAAATTCTGGACTATGAAACTATTGAATATATTCAATAGTTTCATAGCCCATGCGATTAATTATCGCCACTTTTCAGTGTGAAATGTCTTCACAAATATTCGTAAGAACAGGATTATTTATTTACGGATAATTTTGTAACTATTACCCGCGAGGGGCTATTTACAGGCGTAATCGGGGTGTCACTCGCTGATGTAGTCAATTGTAATCCCAGAAAAATCAATGTAATCATTGTAATCACATGATTACCATATTTGTAATCAAGTGGTAATCATTTGTAATCACTGTAATCATTTGTAATCAGTGTAATCTTTCGCAGTTGCTCCTAGTGAGACCGTGAATTTTGTTTTTGAATTTTCGAGCGCGTCATTTCTACCAACATTAAGTCTCAGAGATCCCTGGATCAATTTTTCTGGGAATCCCAGATCTTTATGGTTCAGAACCTTGCATAGCCAATGCGTTTTGCACCGAGCATTTGTCCGCAGAAAATTGATTCAACAGAGTTAAAATTTCTTGTTATTCTGGAGAACCAACGACTGAATTATCTCTGAATTATCTGCTGGTAAGTTCCATTCTCCATCAATGGTAGATATTCAGTAAATTTATTTTGCTGATAGAACTTATAAATGCCCGAATTTTTGGATACAGTGATGGAGACTGCATTCCTCTGTTCTAATCCCCGCCCCTCCTTCCTCATTTCTTTGCAGGTTCTAATAATTAATTATTCCATCAATTCATATTTAATAAGAGGCCATTTTTGTGATTTCAATGATTACCGATGTTTGGTAATCACAGAATGTAATCGACGACATTATTTGTAATCATGTAATCACATTCTGTGCTCTTGCTAATCACGGTTATCACATAGGCAATGGTAATCAGTGTAATCAGTCCCGTAATCCTGGGTAATCGATTACATTTTGTAATCGCGGTGTCACCCAATTCGCCTGTGAATAGCCGCTCGGAAAAAACTCAGTTACCTCAACCAGCATCAGACTAAGATTATAGCAAAACCCTGTGAACAGAGGTTCAAGTAACCACAGTAGCAAAGAATAAAGTATAGTGGAAAGTATGGAGCGAGAGCTCACCGCCGAAAGATATAAGATGCACCACGCACACAAGCTCCGAACATCGACGTATCAAAAATGCTGAAATAGGTTTCCTGTCCCGTGGTGACGTAAAAGTAAAAAATGATTGGATTTGAAACGTGAGCGGCGTGCATAGATACTGCCATAGATGTTGCCATGTGTTTCAAACATTTCACTGGATTGTTGAGGATGACTCCCGAAAACGGTTAACGTACAAACCGTTTTCAGGTCTGATCGTGTCTCCACTTCTTGTTATTACTTTTACAAATGATAATTGACTGTATAATAATTGTCAGTGGAGTTCACGAAGAATCGATTCGTTTTATGCATCGTAGACCCGACGCCTGGCGCACTATCGCGGTAGATTTCTACTGGAAGCTGGAAGTTGTTCGAGGACGGGATTCTCTACTACGCGGTCAGTCTCAGGTTCTGATGGAGATAATTTTATGCACGAAGAGTAAGTTTTGTTTGGTTCTTACTGCGAAGGAGAAATTTTTGAAAAATACTAAGAAATGAAAAAGAAAGCCAAGTCAGCAATGTCGAATGAACGAGCATATAGTGCACAATCACATTTCCATCAGGAAAATAATTACAAATCGAATGAGGATTTTAATCAAATTCTTTATGAAATTAAAAATTGGTGGACATTTTCTTTAATTATTGTTTTTGAGACCAGAAAACACTTCTAATTTAATGCAACGAATAATTTGTAACATGAATGATTTATTTGCTCATTTTTTTTTGTTTTCAACTGGATTTCCCACTTGATAGATTAGACATCCTCAAGCAAAGAAAAAATGAAAATGAAGAAAGAAAAATGTTGAAACCCAACGCATTCCGACTTAATGGCTGCGAACATTCAATTTTTCCTTCACAATATGGCGGAACTATCTCCATGCGCCAATGAAGCAAAACATCATGATACGAAAGCGGAGGGGCACGTCCTATATTCTGAATCAGAAGTACGAACTTTGAGTTTTCGAATCAGCATGAATAAGTGAAAATACAATTGTATGTGTAATATTCCACAGAGCTCTGAAATCTGTGTAGAGGTGGAATGTTGAAAGAGGGCGTAAGCTGTCTACACGGTACAGGATTCTTGGTCGATTAAACTTTTCCAGGTGAATCGAATTTAACTTTTCCGCAAATGGGATAAACTACTCTTGTTGCGTTGTTGCGCCGGTGGGATAACCTTGTTAAACCCTGAACACGAGAACGCCTTTACAACCAGTGGTTCACGTACCGCACACACGAACACACATAAGGGGAACGCATAGACCTTTGCATATGTATGCATATTTATGTGATGCGAGAAGGCACGTTTCTTGGAATTCATAATCGTTCGGGGATGGGGTAACGCGTGGTTCAAAAAAAAAAACAAAACAAAAATACATCAACAATCGATATTTTCCGAGAATCTCCCATACGACGTTGGATGTTTTGACTGCGGTAGAGATAGATATTTAATCGAATGAATGAAAAAAATATACATGTGATTCTCATGGCATCACCTTGATGGTTTCATCCCTACTTTTACCCCTGCCTTGTAACTCTCATGCTTGAGCCTTCTTGTATTAATGTGATGCATTTCCTTCCCTCCGGGTTCTATCCCCATTCCCCCTCCGCCACGAAATAGATGAAATCGAAAATTTGAAATCACTTGAAATCGCCTGAAATCGCGTAATCACAAAACAAATCCCAGGCAATCGCATGAAATCATGGAAATCTCCATGAAATCATGCACGGAGAGAAATATTCAAGAACAATTACGGAACATTTCACGTAATCCGTAAGCGAGAATCGTTTTCAGTGAATTTCTATAGGAATATAAGAGAATAAATCTGAAACGTTCAGTAAATTTTCGGGTCTGTCACCGAAAAAATACGAAAAAGTCACGTAATTTTTCTGGAAGTTGTAAAATCTAACAGAAACTTCAAGACGGTGACTCATGGCTAGCCGTGAGGCGTCGGACGGATGAGTAATTTTTACGGAACAGATCGTAGAATTTACGTGACGATTGACACTTTTTATTGAATTTTACTTCGCTCCCAGATTACGTTTCGAGAGGTAATTTTTACGTCTTTTTTCTGGTAATTATTATTGAATATTTCTCTCCGTGTGTGAAATCAGCAATCACTGTGTCATCGGATTTCCAAATGAACGGCCCCTCGATATAATCATTATAATCATTACATACCGTATGCAGTCTTGGCCGCAAGATTGAGCTTGCACTCGTGCCTCGTTGTAAATGTATAAGGATGCGCTTCGTCAGGACACCATGGTACTGAAGGGCCGCACAGACATCTTCCATTGTTCTCCCTCTTTCCACTTTCACTGGACGTTCCCTCGCCAATTAAATTGCACCCGGCTCCTGACATTTTCGGCCCATGTGGACAGTGTCGTCGCCATCTGCCGGGTATCTCTGCAAAAATCCACCAGAAAACATTGAATGTGACATTGAGCCTCACTGTTTGTGACATTTAATCCTCAAAACTAGAACAGCATATGCAGCAGGTAAAAAATAATATAAAATGCATTATTGAGAGGAAATATACTCCTGATATGTACTTCCATGTTCCACTTTCCACGAGCGTATAAAATGATCCGATTTCAACGAGCCACTGGTACTAGGGCGAGGGAAGGGGGGGGGGTAGCTCTTCTGCGTGAAACTTAATGCGGAAACGGATTTCGTTGCCGAGTGAATACGGCGGAAAATCTGGCTTTAGCATGCATTGAAGATTAACGTGGAAAGGGAACCAGAATGATTTTTTGCATTCCCACATCACTCGGTATAAGTGCCATCTTACAGCATGTCGAGTCCTTCTGCATTAACATTTCATACTTTCCCAGGACGCATGGATTAAAGGACGATTCACTTTTTTTGGGTCAAGTTAAGAGGAATTGCCATCAAAGTAGCTCTACCCTTACGGTAAATTGAAAAATTATTGAAGACTGCAAAAAAATTGCAGAAAACTCGATTAGATTCGGAATTCTAATTTTTTTCTCAATTTAATTATCGTTTTGGTTGTTCAAAGAAGGAATGTTTAAAAATCAGGATTTAACCCAGTGTCTTATGTGAAAATCAACATTTCCATTGTAATCAAAGATTAAAATCTGAATTTTTTTTCATGAGATGTGAAAAAATCAAGAATTTGTTGGACACCTCATAAAAAATAATCCACCGTTTTGCAAATGAGTTTTATTATTTATTTATAAGAGAGAAATGTTTGAAAAATATCAATATTTTGCGAAATTTAATTTAGATAATACTGACTGGGTATGAATTTTTTCAAATTTTTTCCATGCAATTTAGTTGAAAAATTAAAATATCCAAAGGGCAGAGCTACTTTAAGCAATATCAATAATGTTGAGGTATGCTGTTCGAAATTTTTCAAAATTTCACAACTTGATTGAATTTTCAATAGCGAACATGAATATTCAGAAACAAATGATATGAATTTTCAATTTTTCCCTGAATTTTTCTGATTTCTCCGCATTTTCACAGAATAATTGAACTGAAAAATCAAATATTTTAATGATCTTCAGATCATTCGAACAGAAAATCAATAAAATATTTCATTTTTCAATTACAAGATTTCCTGAAATTCCAGTGAAAATTAGACACGATAAAAATTTCCGGCAATTGACACAGAAAATTCGGATGAAAAATTCTAATAGTGTATCAATACTTTAACAATTACTTTAATACTTTAAAAAGCCAGGAAAGTAAAACGCGAAAGTGAAGTCGGGAACGATCAGACACAGAATAATGAATATTTTGTATAGTTTCTCTCTAATTGCTCTATACAGTGAAAAAACCACTTGAATCTTCATTAATTATTAAAAATAGGCCTTATCCATAATTTATAAATAAGCTTTTACCCATTTCTCTCTCTTCATGACACTAGTAAATTTTTCACGCAGAATACTGACTGCCACCATAAACTTCATATCAATAACAATTTTCTGAACTGTAAGTGCACGAATATGGGCACTGAAAGAGTCTTCAAAAATATTAGACCATATTTTTCGTTATTATCGCAAATCGATAGTCATATTGGATGCTATAGGTTCCACTAGCTGGCAATCGAGCCCAGTGATTGCAACCCACTCTCTCGTACATTTTCTTATAGCCCTCGTTAACGTTACGCTCGTTTAGAGTTCGACCCTATTGAGGGCGGGTTTCAAAACTGTTTTTTTTCCAACTTTTTTTCCGTACAGCATGATTTTTTCATTATCGATTTTCCATCGTTAATTATGTGGACGTGCTCGGTAATTTTACGTTGCCAATAATGATATTTACGGCTCCCTTTTTAACCCCACAATTTGAAAATGCTCTCACTCTACACGGATAATAATAATGTAATTTAAGTGGGTATGTACACGCTTACGTAGCTGAAGTACCCAGATTCTACCGTGGACAAAACATCAATGTGGAAAACATATTCGTTTTACACAATTTTTATACGTCAATGTAGAAGGATTACGAGGAAAATATAGTTTTGAAACATGTGCGTGGAAAAATCCCTTTTCGTTTACAGACACAAAAAGAAAAATGCACTTCACTTGTGAAAAGTTCGTAAAATACTTGTCCCAAGTACCCGAGTGGAAATTCTGTTCAGGTCTTGATCAGAAACTGATCAAGTCCGATCCGAAATTCTGATCAGGCGTGTTTCGCCTCTGCCTTAGGTTTTTCCACTAGGGCAGTTCTTTCGTGACTTTGAGGAAGTACAAAATTTGCCTTTTCCCCAGAAACTCTTTGGTACAGGGTACAAGTACTTTTTCCACTGATGAAAAGTGCTTTTATTCGAGGGATAATAAGTATCGTTGATGCAGGCATAGAGATGCACATAGGAGGATGATTTTGAGGATGATCGCTTCAGAGATCCACGATCCATTCAGCGACGGAGTTTTGTTACAGCAGACTTGAGGGAAGATCAATTCAGCGAGAGCATTTCGCTAGAGTATTACTCTACATTGATGAGGTAGAGGATAATCGTCGTGCAGTCTCCGTTGAAGCAGGTTTTCACAGCGGTAGATCCGGGGGTCATTTCCGCCATTAGAGGATATAATTCTGCTGAACCTACTCAGTCGGACCGTTTCCGAGTTGAGTATTAGTTCAATAACTTGCAGTCATATAAAACTGACCAAAATTAAACACGATTATTAACTGAAGTTACACAAGAATCAGTTGTGAGTGTCCATCAACGAGGAAAGTTTAAGAACTGTGTCTTCCCGAGTCGAGGATTTGGTTCTGATTGGACGTACACAGGTCTTTCAAGATCTCTCCAGACCTAGATGGACCTGGTAAGTCCTAATCAGTTCTGCGACGTACTTTTCCAGAGACCATTCGAATCCTCAGTTCTTTTCGGTCCTGAGAAGTCCTCTTCGATGCTACCGAGAACGCGTGATTTTACGAGCGGGTGAAGGGGAAGGCATGTATGCGGAGGGTTGAAATTTGTAGCCAACGAGGAGACAGGGTTGCAGAATATATTTTAGCCACCCTCATCTCCCCGTTTGCAGGGGGTGTTTAAATAAAAAATAGTGAACGTTGATTCTGTATTTATTGACCCCCTGATGCCAATGAAACCCTCGGAGGTGACAGAAAAGGGGAAAAAAATTTTTCATTTTCACGTGGGTCAAGGGTGAAAGTCGATTTTCGCCAAAATTAAATTTTTTCGCCAAGTGAAAGTTGATTCTGTATTTTCTAACAATTCTGATGCTAATGAAACCCCCGAAGGCGCGACAAAAGTCGAAATAAATTTTTCCCAGACATTGCTAACATGAAAAACAGATAATAATGTTGTAATTTGTTGGAAAATTCACGGAGAAAAGTGTTTCTATTCGATAAATAGTACATTTTTACACAGAGAAATCTCATTTATCTTTGGAAGAAACTAAAAAATTTGAAAAGACCGAGTTATGCATCTTATTAAATTTTTCAGAAATACGAAAAATGCAGACGGAAGCGGGTACTCTTTTTCCTCCTTACGGTTGCAGTGTAAATAGAGCACGAGATTGAGGCTAGGCGAGAGCCATTACAGGACACGTGCTGCGAAAAAAAGCTCATATATTTGCTGTTAATTTTTTTCCGAGTTGCTATCACGCGACGTTCTGTGTAAATAAATCGATAAATGGAGGTAGCCATTTTCGCGTTTCTCAGGTATAAAATGAGGTTGACTTAGGGTCAAAATATTGGCTAGTTGAGCCAGGTTTTCGGTAAGTTTAAGGAATAACGGAAAGGATTGAACGAAACCCATTAAAAAAAGGTCAAATCGAAAGTCGAATCGTACACGGATGGAAGTATTTTGAATGATAAATTGATAATAAATTGAATGATTAATTGCACAGACATTTTTTAATTTAATTCTCTGCATAAATGAATTCTCAACGGAGAAAAAAATTCAATAAAAATTATCAGAAAAAAAATGTAAAAATTACATTTCGAAACGTAATCCGCAAGCGAAGTAAAATTCGATAAAAAGTATGAGTCGGAACTGAAATTTTACGAATCGCCACGTAAATTCTACGATTTGTTCCGTAAAAATTAACAACCCGTATGATGACTCACCGCTGTGGGGACAAGTCGTTCCGTAATTTTTCCCCAACGATTGAGAAATTTTACGGAACGGAACGTAGAAATAACTTACCAGCTTCATAAAAATTGTTAAACGTTCAAGAATTTTTGATTTTGGAGGCATAATAAGTCGGCGAATTTTTGTAAGATTTTACTTCTTCGGGAAAAATGACGTGACAACTTCGTACTTTAGTCGGTGATGAACCTGAAAATTCACTGAACGTTTCAGATTTCTTCTCTTCAATTCCTACAAAAATTTCCGGAAAACGATTCCCCATTGCGGATTACGTGAATTCCTCCATAATTTTTACTGAATATTTCTCGCCGTCTCGAAGAAGCAAATGAAGTCGGAAAATCTTGAATAAATAATTAAAAGCCGGTGAAAATAATGCCTGTGAAGTAGAACCATTTGTTTTGCTTCGATTGTTAATTGGAAATGTGATCTAGCGTGTGAAAAATAAATGAGCCAAATTGATTGAAAATGAAAAAATTTACAGGATATAAAAACGATTACTTGCTTATTTTGAAGAAAATAATGAAATTTCCCTGAAACAAACTATAACGTTTTGTGTCTTCTCTTGTTACCCATATATTTGTTTATGAATTAAGATGTGGGGATTTAGAGGAGATCACAAAACCTTCCACTTCACCCCCCCCCCCCCCCCCCCNCCCCCAATGATCAACCATCAATTCTAGCGAAGTTAGAATGCGATGTTTGCGTATGGATGGGTTCACATGTACCTCTCATTTTATTTCCATTGCATTTGAATTATGTAGAACGGAAAATGAGAAAAACTTCTGTTCAAATATACATATAGAATTCACAAATTGTTCTTCAACATTTC